ACACACACACACACACACACACACACACACACACACACAGGGAGAATAAACATACACCTGAGTCAGTTTCATCACATGTGGAGTGGATGAAAAAACATGTGCAGGTTACAAAAGGATAAAGAAGGCAGATCTAAAATGTCTTGAAAAGCTACAAATCAATCCGAGAAAAGACACAGAAGCCGAACACTGAAGCATTTCCTTTACAATACTGTTGGTCCATGCAGTTCAACTTTGTTATGCAATGCCAGCGATCTTCATTCTTCTGTCAAACTCACAGCAAACAGAAATACCAGATGGAACAAAGACAAGCACAGAAAATTAAATAACAGGATTCAAAGCAATTACGTATCTTGGAAACGACTCTGTTTTTAACCGTTGCGCCAAACAGTCATAAAAAATTAACTCTACGAGCCTCAGAGTGCTTTATTATCTTTAATAAATTAAGCTAAGCAGAAAGGACAGGAAAAAATAAAACAAAGCTCTACCCCGCAGCATTTTCTTTAAGATCTATTGTCTGTGGGAGTTTGTGGGAATTAAAGACATTTGTGTAGATGACAGAAAAATAGCAAAAAGCATCTTTTAAAGAATGCAGAGGTTAAAAATCTGGAAGATTAAGGGTGGTCATCCATAAAACACATGCTTTCATGATTCTGTTCAAGATTTACTGATTGCTCCATTTTGGTTGTGTGTGTTTCGGGATGGCTGTATCCCGACTTTCCAAACTCTCTGCAGCTTCTCTCAAAGGAGTCTCTGTTCTGGGACGAGCCCCAGAGGCTACAGTCGGATGGTGTAACGCAACACTCCTCAAGGTCAGGGAATTTTCCAGAACATTTGAGGGGACACTCACCCATGTGACTTTTCTGTCTGTCTGCCTCAGGACAAATCTGCAGAAGACTTGTCACCTGAAACCTAAATGGCACCGCAGTCCCCCCCACTTCCCCTTCTTCTTTTCCCCTCGGTAGTCTGTGAAGACTCTGGGACCCTCAAGGAGAAAAAGATTACATTCATGTGCTTCAGCCTGACACAAAGACGGCCCTCATCCTGTTTGACGTCTCTCAAAACTTTGCCTGGATGTAAGGATGGCTTCCATTACCGATGTCTCTCCGCATCTTGATTATTGTGTATTTTGTTCATTTTTAGGATCAGATCTCTCTTCCACAGATAAAAACACGAGACGTTCTGAGATGTTGCAGCCATGTTCACGTCAGCTTTACGAGGACACAAAAACAAACAATGGAGCTTCAAAAAATGTCCGAAAAATAACATCTTAGAAGTAAATCTCTGATGGCGCCAAGTCGCTGAGTATGAACAAACAAATTCACAAGAGATTTAAGTAACTGTTTGACATTTGGGGGAAATGCATTAATTTCCTTTGTCTGTAACCTAATTAACATCTTTATTGTTTGATCTGTACACAAACAAAAACGCCTGCTTCTGCCTGTTAATTTTTCCATCCCCTAAGAAAACAAGTACGATAATAAACTCTTCCTTTAAATGTGCCTGAAATGTCATCCTTTCATTCCCATGAAACAACCTCTTTTCCACAATAACGCAGTTACACAGTAAGATAATTCCTCAACAGCTGTATAAACACTGTTGAAAAGTGACTCCTGCACTCCAACTCCACATTGTAGCCACAATAATTTATCATTCCTGCGTCAGTGTTTCGCTCCCGGTCGATGGAGAAAAGATATTCCTGGACGACTCGGCGACTGCTAAACAAGCTGGTGTTTGTTTCAAACCGAAAACTGTTTGCCCAGGAGACGCTGAATCATGTCGAAGCCAGGGTTATGCGGTTGAAAATCAAACTGCGTATTACATCATGCTTACGACCCCTACCTCACCGAAGACAAAAACACAAGTCTAATAATTTGCACCGGTCCTTCCTGAGATCAGGCTGCTTGAAGGCCACGGGGGTTTTGAGTGGGGCTGTTACGTTTGCCACAGCTTAAAATCAGCGTTCTCTTCTGAATCGTATAGTAAATGGATTTATGAGAGCAAACGGACACGTGTGACATCTAATCACTCTCCCTCTCATGAACACGACAGGACCACACACAAAGGATAATTACTGCTGTTAATAATTCATGGTCCTCCCTCCCCAGTTACCAAAGTGAAACTGAGCTCTACTTGTGGTTAATTTGCAGTAACAAAAGTGTGGATGCATGCTGCAGGTGCATGAGTCCCATGTTTAAAAAACAGGCAAGTATCACTATTTAGATGCAAAATCGTTACAAAATGAGTCAGATTATAAATATTTGCTGAGATATTTCAGACAAAAGTGAAGGTCTGACTGACCAAATAACACTGGCTAACCTCCCTGACCCCAAGTATGATCCCACCGTACTTTGCAGCTTAGTTAATCGCATCCTTTCTTCTGGGAGAAAATAGGAGAACAGAATTGAATAAAACAGACACACGAAGAAAAAGGAAATGCAGACAGACAAGAGACAGGAGGAGCTGTGGAGGTCTTTTTTTTTTTTGCCAGATCACCGATATTACTCCAGTGGAGTGGGCACAAACTCACTGACTGACCATTAATTCACATTCATATTAAATGAGCCAGCAAATATTTAATCAGAGAGGATTTCAGGACGGAAACGTCAAAGTTAATCTTTGGCAAGCAGGCGGACGGCCAGCTTTGCTTTTGGTGCAGGCAAACGCCGCCACAAGTCAATCCACAAAAATTCTTCCTATGGGACTCGTTGGGCAAGGAGAGGAATGAGTGTTTCACCTCTACAGTCAAGAAACAGACAACTGTCAACTAGCACGGACAAGTGGTGGCTTCAAACAAGGAGCGATGGGAAGAAATCAGCAATAAAATATCTGTGCTCTACTCTGCCTTTGTTTGCAGGTTGTTAAATGTTGATGCTGATCACCTGAAGTGCACAGATCGGGTTTGAGAGTCTTTTCATCCTCTCAGCTCAGCATCAATTTTCATGTTCCCAATGAAAGATTCAAATATTGTCCATAAACACTTTATTGCTGTAAAATGTACTGAATAAATGCACATTCACAGCTATAAACAAAACACCGCCCACATGCTAAACTGACCATAAGCTGAGCAACCGCCTCTCCACATTGTTAGAATACTTTATGCAGTTAAAGACTCGTAAAAACAACCATGCTGCGACAGAGATGACACCAGCAGGAAAAAGGCTCTATTAGAGTAGTTATGCAATACTTGATTTTGCATAACGGTTCTGATTCAGGACAGGAAGAGAAAAGTTATTTCACACCCAACAAGATGTGATCTTTAGTAGATTTGGTTTTTAGACGTGTTATACTTAGTCATGACAGAGGCAGAAAAAACATCCAGTTATGTTACATGACTCTGCAGATCCTTTCCAGGTCGCCAATTTTCTTTGCTTTCGTTCTTTTCACCAGTTCGTGAAGTGCAAATCAGCTGTACGGAATCAGCTATGATATCCTCCCACAGTTTTTAAATAGGAAAAATACCGGAAAACAAGTGTTTGGTAAAGCGAGGTTGTGTTTAGTCCGCAGTGGGGGGAAATAAAAAGCAAGGACAGTCATTAACAATGCGTTTGCACACGAGGGAAACACACACTGCTGTGATGGAAACTAGCAATATCAACAGTGGCAGGAAGAAGAGGTTATCAGGACTCTGGTGCCAGCATTACTGGGAGGGGAAATCATTTGAGGTTTCTTCTAATGCCCTCTTTGTCCCTGTTTGTACAACTTCGAGTCCCATCCTGTAAAAGAGCCGTTCTGTGGGACGTCTTCTTTCCTTTAGCAGCAGAGGGGGTTAACAATGATAGCGGCAGTAGCCCTGACCCTCCCCTCACCCTGGGGCCTGTCCTTCCGCTCTCCTGGTGTGTTTGGCCTGCCAGTGCACATTAGCTATGACTGTCAAATCACATCAAACTAAAGATCGCATTCCTCCCCCGGTGACATTACTAAGCATGTTTGTTTTTACACGCAGATTCCTCATTCATCCGGCTGCAAAGTTGCCTTATTGCAGGTCTGAATGAAATGTCAAAGCAGAGGAGTTATTGAGAGCTCCTCTTTAGCATAAAGTGTGTAAATGTGTTTATTTCAACATTGGTTTTAGGTGTTTTTCAATGAAAACTTTATGGAAGACATCTGCAGTCTAGAAAAAGATCCATCTCATGTAAAAACTGAGAAAGCTCAAATAAACCACTGCCAAAGTTTTGCTGATCTGCAGAAGAGATTCAAGTGGCTCGCTCAGCACAGATGGCAACTCTTAGGAGCGCATGACCCCTGAAAACTGGAGTGTGAACATGACTGTGTCGAGTAACAACAGGATTATACTGCCAAAGCAGTTTTCTTCCTTTAGCGTTTGGCAAAAGCTGCTGTGGTATGTGCTACAGTTTTGGCTTCCCATCTTGTTGTAAGCCATTTTAATTAAAACTGTGTTTATCTCACTGTGTGTTCACATTAGTGATTGGCTTAATGCCCAATACACTTCATTAGTGGTGGCCACTCACAAGGAAACTCATCAGCAAAGATGCAAGAATCACCGCACGGCGACAAATCCCATGAAGTAAAGCACTCTGCTCACAAACGTTTTATTACGAATGGTTCAATTTTAAACTTTCTCCCAAATCCAACAACATAACTAGGAACCATCACATCCAGCAGGCTCCTGACACCTCAAAGTATCACTTAACATATCCTGTGATAAAGTTTCTAAATTTAATGCTCCACTATCAGTGCTGCCTTGTAATGCATGCTGTTTATTATTGGCTCGTCTGTCTAGAACCTCTGTATGTCTGGATATTTTTAAAAATGTGAACTATCTGATAAAAGTATGACAGAATTTGAGTACGTGTGATTAAAAGTGTGTTAAAACTGACTTGGGATGATGGCGTGCTTAAAAGCGAATA